GATCTCTTCTCTTTATTCGGTTTTCTTCTTGCCTTATTTCTAAAACTGTGTCTCATTTTTGTCTTTTATTACAAATCACAACAAATCCTCTGTGCATACAGATATTGTTATGAGCAATAAATGAATGTAAACATACAAGATGACTTTTATGTTCCGATTTTATACTTTGTGTTATCTTAACCTCCACTTAAAACTTTGATAATTGTGCAGAAATACTTAATGATTCCAAAATTCAAGACTATTATTATTCAAAAACCTTACCTAATACGGAATAAGCACATGTGATTCCCTACCCAAAAATAAACCACATGTGCCTAACTACAGACAGCCATGTTTTCACTGGACTCCATACATTATTAAATTTAAAATGTCTTGGAGCCAGCAGGTGGCGTGGTGGTTAAGGTGCTAGGTTCCCACATGACTGACTATGGGTTGAGTCCTGGATCTGGTCGCTTGAAAATTACATTGAGCAAGTGTCCATGTGTAACTAAAATCCCAAGAGGAGAATGGAGGGAAGGAATTGTGGTGTGGCCATGCCCACTGGAGAGTGACTTCTCACTTCCCCATCTTTGTCTCTGTCTAGAAAGCACACATGTCCTATGGCAAAACCTGAAAAAAATAAAATGAAAACTAAAATAAAATGTCTTGCCTTGGCTGTAGTGCTATGAGAGAATCGTTATAGTAACTATCTATACAATAACTGCTATATAAGCTTGAGACAAAAAGTCACTTACGAGGTGGCTGAAACTGGCAAGAATCTTTAAGGATTCTTCCTTCTAATGGAGGACAAAAGTTATGGAGGACAAAAGTTATGGAGAAATAGTTTATGCAAAGACAAATTAGCTTCTATTTGGGAATTCCTGTTTCAAAGAGGGGAAAACTTTCTTCTGAAGGTATAAAAAGAAGTTTCACAGTAGTATAAAGAAAGATATTTGTTTAGGAACCATGATAATATTTGATATAATATTTTATGAATAGATAACAGGAAGGTTAAGGTTCTTTTTTTTTCCCCCATGAGAGACACCAACGAGGTTCTCTTATCTCAGTTCATCCCCAGTCTTAGCTGGTCAGGATCATGGGCATGTGTGTGTGTCCAACATGCTCAGGAGGTCTAGAGACTCAAACCCAGAAGCTTTCCCTATGTATCTAGTTGCATTACGACTGTTTTACCAACTAGGCCAAAGGAGGTTAATATTTTTAACAGATATGGCCGTCAAATCTTCATAATACTGTGAACAAATGGATGAAAGAAACTTTTACATGTGTTCACAATAGCTTTCTTTCTCAGTTGTGGACTAGGTTGTCAGATAACTTCTATTACAGTGTTCTAATATAGTACCCTGCAGAGAAGACTTAAGGAAGAGAATAAAAACAAGTGTACAGACACACACTATGTGGCCCAAAGGCTAATGGGAAAAATCCAGACATTCATTAAGATGCTGGTAATAGTCTAAAAACAGCAGCATGGTCTCTGAAGTACCCATGGTTCACTAAGGCACACCTGAGGAAGAGCTCCCTCCCACAGACACAGATACATTATCCTTATCATGTAATGGATGCCTGACACTTCTCGGCCCGTCAGCTGCAGTCCTGAATGGAAGGAACATTCACCTCCATGTAAGATGACCATCACTTTGAAACTCTGATCGATGTCAAATTTCTTAACAGCTTGAATCACAATACTTAATACAGAACACTACTGCTTAATTTCTAGACTGCCAGAAAAAGGTACAATTACACATATCTGAGTGCACTGGGGAATTCCTGCTTAGTGAGTTTTAATACGATTTCCAAACAGCAGAGAAAAGGGACAGATAGATTTTTGTGTCCAGATTTTATTAGCTGACTAGGTTTCCTTTTCTTGGAATAGGAGGAGGCTCTGATGCTACCCAGAGATCCTGAGGGGCCAGCAGAGGAAGAGAAATGATTTCCTATAAAATGATGTTTTAAAACTTTAGTAGAATTCGACTCACCATAGCTTTCACTGAATTTCCTAATGAAAAGCATCACAGATGTTTTCCTTTCTTATAGTAACATTACTTTCACAATGAATTCTTCCAAGCATGAAAAAATATCTAAGACGACTGTGTCATGGCAGAGTCCTATCGTGTAAGAAGGTCTAACAGGTCTCACAAATTGCATCATTGAAAGCCTCCAGGAAATACAGCGAAAGCAGACCTCAGCGTCTCTGCATTTATTAAAAGGGGAATACCAGACAAAATACAGAGTACCAAAGTAATAAATGATAAAATAATATTAAAGATAGCTATAAGGTAATAAAGTAACAAGACAGAGAACAAGGATATATTATTATGAAAGTATAAGATTCCAAAACTTGTACTATAATAGATCACCCAGAGAAAAAACATCCATAGCAGAAATAAAAAGGAAATGATCAGAGAATTACCCAGTGAAAGTTATTTACGCTGAGTAAATACAAGGAATGAGTTTCCTCTATGTGTATTAATGTCAAAAATCCGTTACATAACAAAAGAAAGTTGTAAGACCACATAAAATAATGTTAATTTAAAAAAATGTATATATACACATTCACATGTTCTTAGGGAAAAGTCTGGAAAATTATACTTCAAACTATTCAAAGTAGTTTCTTCTGGAGTACTAATGAGGGTAGGAATTTGTTCCACTTGACCTACCTGTTTCAAATTCTTATTGGCATGTATCTCTTTTATTAATAAAAATAAGACTTGATACAAAGCAAGCTTGTATGGTCAACATTTTTACAACACTGAAAATAATCAGAAGAACTAAGCGTTTTTTCCAGATACCAAGGAATGCAGTCAGAAAGTATATAAGACAGCTGTCTGGATTTGAGAGTCACAAGCAGTAACAAATTCATGTTTTGACTTTGAAACATAAATGCAGTTAGCTAGGAAGTGGGCAGGGAAAAATGTAGCTCTTCCTGTCACCTGGAAGTGGCAGGAATGTACTCCAATTAGACACCCGGGCAGCTGATGCCCTATTGTGTGAAGATGGCTTTCCAAGGTGGACAGAAATCTACTCACCTTCTATTCCATCAACTCCAGTCTTTCTACACTCAAAAGCAACTCCCAGTATGCAGCATGACTAGGGGGAAAAACAACAGGAATGATACACTACGTCTTGGCATGTGCAGTTCCCTCAGATAAAGCAGTGTGCATAATTGAGGGTGGCTCCTGAAAGAACCTGCGAGAGCTGCCTTTTTCATTACTGCATCTAGATAAAGAACAGCTGAATGCCTCTGACTTCTTAAGACATGCATTCTCAGGCTCATATCAAACAAGGCAGAGCAATAAAGGGAAATCTACTCATCTGAAAAAATGGATGCTGTAAAAACTGCAAATTGAGGAAGAGGCTATAAACTACTTTCTAAAATATATGTCTTCTAAAGCTGATAGGGGGAACCAGCAGTTAGCATAATGGCTATGTCGCTGGACTCCCACGTAGTCGACCACGGTTCGCGTCCCGGACCCGGTGGCTTAAAACTCACACCGGGTGCGTGTGCGTGCATGCCCAAGATCCCGAGAGAAGAATGGAGGGGAAGGGATTGCAGCGTGACCATCCCCCCTGGGGGGTGATTTCTCGCTTTCTGGCTTTCTGTCTCTCTCTCTCTGTCTGGCGAGCGCACGCACCCTGTAGCGAAAACCTCTCCAAAAAAAAAAAAAAGAATAAAGCTGATAGGAAGATTCTACTAGTATTCACATAAAAGGGACAGGAATCAAATATGGGCACAATGAACTACTCTCCAGATGTGGCTCCAGAACCAACATTTTCCTGCCACTCTGGGTCACTGATTAGGGTAGGGTAAATACATCACCACAGGATGAACACTGGCTGTTGATGTACTCTTCTTCAAACCTGAAAAGTGGAAAAAAAAAAAAAAGGAAAACAACAACAACAAATAACAACTACACAACAAACCAAAAAATAGATTACAATGTAGGGTTTTATTTTAAAACAAAATTTAAGAGAAATTACCTACCATTATAAAGATTCGCAAAGAGTTTTGCTTTGTAATTTTGGAGCTCCCACAGTTCACAATGTGAATCTACCTTCTGACCCCTACTCTTCTAGAATGGGTATTTCCTAAAGGCAGAGAAAATGTTTATCTCACTTCTGTAACCCTCGCACAACAGCAACACTGAAACATCTGTTCAACTACAGGGTTTTAATAGTTTTTTCCCCCCGAGAATGTTTCGAATCAAACATTTACATCCTTAAAACAATTTCTTTGTTCTATCTGTCTCAGCAAGCTGACAATGTGATGACAGGAGAGACTAGTAGTTAGGTGCAGAGGTGCATTAGTGTGCCAGAAACTAGAATTTAGGGTTATTATGAGCAGGAAAAAAAAATCTGTTATTGAATCCTTTTGCCAGTGAGGTACAAAAAGCTTTTTGATAGTACAGGAAAACACTCCAACTTTTATTATAATCTATTCACAATATTTTGAAAAGCAATGACACATTTTTGCATAGAAAAATGCATCAGGGACCAGCAGTTGGCATAATGGCTATGTCGCTGAACTCCCATGTAGCCGACAGTGGTTCGAGTCTCGGACCTGGTGGCTTAAACTCACGCCAGGCGCGTGTGTGTGCGTGCCCAAGATCCTGAGAGAAGAATGGAGGAGAAGAAATTGCAGTGTGGCCATCCCCTCTTCCCCCTGGGGGTGATTTCTGGCTTTCTATCTCTCTGTCTCTCTCTTTCTGGCGAGCACACGCGCCCTATAGCATAAACCTCTCCAAAAACAAAAACAAACAAAAAGTATCATGACTTTTCTGATGACCCAATATTTCATGATGGACTCATTTGCCTAAAATCCATTCCAGCTTTTGGAGTGGTTAAAAGTAGAGGCCCTGAATGGAATGGAGAGTACTTGAATTCAAGAACTGACTCTAACATTTAAAACTGTGTGAACTTATTCAAGTCAGTTTGTCAATAAAATCTCAGTTTTCTTATCAAGAAAAATGAGTGTCTGTGAAGTTCAAATACATATTAAGTGCTTAGCACAGTAACCTGGCGTAAAGATAGCCCTAAATAATCTGTTATACTGACATATTGGCTTTGAGTATTTGCCTCATAGCATTCCTCTGCTCAGCACAGAAAAGATAAATCAAAGAGTTGAAATGTGCATATTTATTTATTCTTTACTAACATGAAAGGAGGCAGATCTGTATCTTTCGATCTATGGCAAGTAATATACACAAATGTATCCACATATACAAGTATGTAGAAATATTTCTATAAAATTGACTATTCATGGTTTTAAATTGGACAAACACTGTCAGGTAAAGAGCAGACTATTATACTGAGTTAACGTCTCATTCAATTAAATTAAACCTATATAGATATAATTTACATAAGACTATTAAAAGAAAGTAATATAAATACATCGCTAACATCATAAAACTGATCACTTTATGAGGTTTCAGTGGAATGGAGCAATATCATAGAAACTTTTAATACCATGGAGAGAAACAAGAATCAAAGTATATAATTCAGGTCTAAAGAAATGAATCTTTCCTAAAATGGCCAACATTGGCACCTAAATGAAGCAAATTCTGCCACTTCTGTTTAAAAGCAAATCACTCTTTTAGCACACTATACTCCTCTGACAAACATTTCTTTAAGCAGCACTGATTTTTAAGCAGATCAGTCTGTAGGAAAACAAAAGAAAACAAAGTAAGTAGCCACTGTGTTTTTACCTTGCACACAGTGAAATTTGAGATTTAAGGTAGAGACATTTTCTAATCCCATACCATGCTAACAAAGATCAACACTAACACTACTGATGTAAAAATCAGGTCAGGGAAAGATGCCCATCCAGTGATGGTGGGTGGCAGAGAAGTCAGTGGCTGATACATGAAAAAAAAAACCAAAAAACCCAGGAAAAGCAATTTCTAGTGCAGGATAACAAAAGAGTTCTCTGGAAGAACTGCAAATAGTAAATGAACCCACAAACTTTATTTATTCTATTCAATGGTTCTTTTTCTTTTATATCCGTTAAAGCCATCATGCTTAATATCTTGAGCAACAAGAACATTTTTAACAGTTACAAGAAGGCACCAACATAACAATGTCTATTTATCAAAAAAAAATCTAAAATGGTAGTTAAGATGGAAATGTTTGTGTATTTCAAACATAGCTAAATCTCTTATGTGTTTCACAACGACATCATAGAAAATATTAACTTTTTTCTAAAATGATATTTTCCATATGCAACAATACAGCATTTAGATAAGATCTTCTGCAACTGTGGTGTCAAAAATCTGATAGCAAATTTGTTGCTCCGTTCCATTTGTGACATAATATGACTTGATCAAGCATTCCAACCAAGGATATGTATCTAAAAATGAAAACAACAATGTTACTTAACAGTTAAAACTAAACAACTGACATACATAATGAAGAAAATGTTTAGATAGAAAAACTCACATGTAATTTAACTTTAAAAGTAAATAAATGCATTGACCAAAATTAGCATTATCCACTCTTTCAAAGATACACTGAATTCAATTACTATTTTGTAGCAATCAAAACAAATTTGAATTTTTCCTGACCATAGATAAAAGTGATTAAATATGGGGTGATTAAATATAGGGTTTTCAAAATGTTTGATAGCAAAAGTAGTAAGCCATGTCATCCCTAATTTTTATTCCTTCTTTTCTGATATTTACTGACCTCCCCTGGCTGTTTCTTGACCAACAGGAAAAAATGGAAAATGAACTTCAAATCAGTTCAAGCCCTTACACCTGCCAGCTGAAACTCCCCTCAGGTAGCAGATACTGAACCCGGGCATGCCATGCCAGTAGCTACTGACGCCATTTTCAAGCTTTGGCTATGACCACAGTAAATTCATTTACAACTTCTACAAAAAAGCTCTTATGAATTTTTTGAGTCCAAAAAGTCTTTTGGTATTCAAAATTGGCAAGTATGATATGATTTGGGGCACCGAAATACAAGCACCCAGTGTGATTTTTAAGCCAATGGATCCAGGACTTGAACTGTGGTTGGCCATGTGGGGGTCCAGCATCTTGACCACTACATCTCCTGCTGGCCCCAGCTTACGCTTTTTGATATGGGAGTTCTACTTCCAGAACCCTACCTGAAAGCCTAAATAACCAACACAAATTTTAAATCACAACGAATATATATTATGCAAATTTTGTTACAGGTGACTGAAACTGTCTTTTTTGAAAGTATTATAAGATGCAAAAATGGGCCAGGGGAAAAGTAAAGCCTGATTTAAAACAACTTATTAAAGTTAAACAAGAGCTAAATCTACAGCTGGCAAAACTGTTACTGACAAATGGTTAAAAGAATCAAATTGTCTTAAATAATCTAGATCTGCATGTTTCAACATGAATAGAAATAATGAACACAGAAGAAAAAATCAGAAGGAACAGATATAATCATTACAATTTGATCTGCACACCTGGGTAATTAACCAAATGTTTATACAGAAAACAACTACAGCTCATATACATAATATTAATAAAACAAAAACTTGAAAAATCTGAAGCTAGTTAACACTAAATAGAAAATTCATCAATGAATTAAAAGAATTTGTTATAGAAAACTGATCTTGCCAAAATTTCACCCCTTTTGGTAAAGCTTCAACCGAAATGTTTGTGTGCATAAAAACAGAGCACATAGGGACTCGCGGGTGGCAAGTAGTCGAGGCTCTGGACACCCACATGGTCCACTGTGGTTCTAGTCCTAGACCCAGTGAAACTCATGCTGGATACATGTGCGTGCCCAAAATTCCAAGAGAAGAATGGAGGAGAATGGACTGCAGTGTGGCCATACTCTCTGGTGGGGGACAGGGTGGGGAGAGGGACCACTGACTTCTAGCTTTCTTAAAAAAACAAAAACAAACAAAAAAAACAACAAAACAAAAAACCAGAAACTAAAAACACAGCATATCAAAAGTGCTTGTGATCAAAACTACTTCCATTTATTACATTTTAAAATATGAAAAAAACTATATGTCTTTAAAAGAATTATTTAATTTTACTTATTCTTATTACTACTTTTAATTTGCTATAGGGCATGTGTGTTCACCAAAAAGAGATAGACAGAGAGAGAGAGAGAGAGAAGGAAAGTGAGAAAGCAAGCTACCAGGTCTAGGACTTGAACCATGGTCAGCTATGTGGGAGTCCAGCACCTCAACCAATATACCACCTGCTGTCCCCTGAAAAAAAAATTTATTGTAGGAATTCTGATTCATACCTTTTTATCTCTGCTACTATATTCACCAAAAGAAGAATCATATAGTAATCATTCGCTTTTGTAATACATTTTGGATTTAAAGACTCTAGACCTCTAATAGTAAATATATGCTAGGTGCTAATTTTGGGGGGGGGGGAGGAAACAAAATTGTTAGCAGTACTGCTTACCAACTTTCATTCCTGGTGGACAAAGCATATCCATAATCATATCCATGGTTTTCTGAAGGTCATCATCAGATAGGACTTCTGACGCTGGAATCTGGAAGAATTTGTCCTAAAAAAATGATATGGTAAAAGGAAAAGAAATTACATAAATCCTTTCTAAAAGTTATAATTAATATATAAGTATTTCAATATCATCTAGACTATTTCACTCTATCAAGATTGTATATCTCCTAGACTAGACTGCTGGTCTGAATTCCAAAATCTATTACTTTAAACTTAAAACAGCCTTGAGATATATAGAAACAAGCTAAATTATTCTGACTAATGATGATGATAATCAAAAAGCTATAACACTGCGTATCTCACTGTGAATAGGCAAATACATTCAGTGTTAAGTTTAAAAGAAAATAACATAGAGTACATACTTATTTTTTTCTTTCTTACTAAAAATTCCAGAAAGAGAGGGATTTTGTTTGTGTTCTCATGGCTGTATCCCCAAACAGCATAGTACCAGATACACAGCAAGTGCTCAGTAAATATTTATTTAGTAAATGGCTAGCTGAATTGTGAAGTAGGAGGAAAAATTCTCCTGTGAACCTTACCTCAGATTCTTTTCCAATGTATGCAGTAAAACATTTAACTCTGAACCTAAGTCTGGCTATTGCCCTTAGGTTGTGAGAGGTATCTCTAAGCCCTTAGGAAGTCACATGGGCAGAAGTGTGTTTGCACGGGGCTCTTGGGTCACTCTGGAGGGTCTAACAGTCTAATTCAGGATGTGGAGCTTGGGGCATGCACCACCAGTGTGACCTTGAGAAGGGCTAAAAACTAAGAACATGGGCCACATGGGTCAGCAACCATGCCTACATAATGGAGTCCCAGTAAAAACTCTAGACATCAAAGCTTGGCTGAGTTTCCCAGTTGGCAACACTCCAGCTACACTGTTACACACTGCTGTAGAGAAGGTAACACAGTACAGTAACTTCAAGGGGAGAGTATAAAAGTAAGCTCCATATTTGGAACTTCCTAGAGTTCCCCTGACTGATTTTTTTTTTTTTTTGAGAGGTTTTTGCTATAGGGCGCATGCACTTGCCAGACAGACCCCCTGACTGATTTTAATCTATATACTTTAACTGTAATAAACTGTAATTGTATTATAACTTTCAGGAGTTTTGTAATTCTTTATTTTTAAGTTATGAAAAGTAAGAGTGGCCTGAGTGCTACCAAACTTGTAACTGGTGTCAGAAATGAGAGTAGGACTACCCTGTAACTTTACATGATAATATCTATCTCCCTATCAGAATTACTTTATTTCCCTTAACAGGAAACATGGAGGTTCAAAATAAATGGCAAAAAGCTGACTAACACCCACATCGAATGGCCATACCTCTGCTTCTCAGCTCTGGAGCAGAGCCTCTCCGTATGGCACAAAGAATGGCTCACACCTCAAACCCCTCAATTTTTCAAGATTCAAATATTAAGATGTAGTTTCAAATCAAAAGAGAGAGATACACAGCATTTAAGATTCATTGATAAGCTGCTCAAATTTTATTTACATTTTTAAGTTGCCTTAGGTCCTTTTAGAAATAAAGTAGGCATGAATAAATGTATTAAAATTCAAAAAGATCTTATTTTTGTAGTTAAAAATTCATTACTACCTCTGTTACTTACAGAATCCATGAGATATGTGTCTAAAACTCCTGTCCCATCATCAAGAGTAAATGTCATAACAAACACATACTGGAGGGGTACAACACCCAGTACTAGGGAAGGAAAAGAAGATCAAACCACATGATTCTGCTATTTCTTATTACAAAAGTAAAGCTGAAATTGTTACATGGCAGGGGGTGTCAGAGAAGTATATAATAATTGAACAATTCAAATAACCTTGGCCCTTCTGAGAAACTAAGATGGGAAATACATAATATAGTCTTTAGTAATAAGGTTAATAATATATAAATACATACTTTTTCTGTTGAAGTGCTTTATTTCTCAAGAATTACTGACTTCTTGATTGGGATATACTGTATTCATCTAGTCTAAAGTGAGCATAGTAATACTGGAAGTAAATTGATTTTCTTTTGTTTAAATAAATTGTTTTATGATAGTATGTAGCTATAAATCTTATTAAAATAATACAAGGAATAAAAATTTATGCATATGACTATTGCTTTACCAATACCTTAAGCTCATTTAGGTTCACTTTGGAACATATTACTGTATCTACAAGGGAAAAATACCTCTTAAGATTATAAGTAACTGAATTTATTTTGCTAAATAATACTATAATGTATCTTTAAAATGAGCTGATACTTAAATGGAAATCATAAAAGTAATTCATTGCATATTAGTCTCATGAAAGATAATTAAAATACCAGAATGTTCTAGATTAACAGAACATGGTTACATTTTATTTATTTATTCATTTATTTGGTATTCACCTCAGGGTGTGTGAGAAAGAAATAAAGAAGGGGGAAAGTGAGAAATCATGTCCAAGAGGGATGGCGATGTTGCATTCCTTCTCCTCCATTAAACTTTCAGGATTTTGGGGGACGAACACATGTGACCTGCGTGATTTTCAAGTCACCAGGTCCAGGACTGGAGCTGTAGTCAGTCATGTGGGATTCCAGTGCCTTAAGCACCACACCATCTGCTGGCCCCATCAGTTAAATATTTTTAATGTGTCTCTACTTTTTGTATCATATGCATAGAAAATGACTTACTTTTTTTTTTTTTTGAGAGGTTTTTATTATAGGGTGCATGCGCTCGCCAGAAAGACAGAGAGAGACAAAGAGACAGAAAGTGAGAAATCACCCCCCAGGGGGGATGGCCATGGAGCAATCCCTTCTCCTCCATTCTCCTCTTGGGATCTTGGGCATGCACGCACACGCGCCTGGCGTGAGTTTAAGCCACCAGGTCTGAGCCTCGAACCGCGGTTGACTACGTGGGAGTTCAACGACATAGCCATTATGCTAACTGTTGGTTCCAGAAAATTACTTTTCTAAAAATGTTATATCATCTTTTTGAATGGACAAAAATGTCACAATTTGGGATGTCACAGTTTAGTAAGATAAGTAAGAAAGCAGGAACTAGAGATACTAAATTACATGAGAATTCAAAGGTTAATAATATCTTTCTGTTTGCAATTGAAAGACAATAAATAGGTCTACAAAAAGTTTTTTCGCTTCCATGTGTGGAGCCCCTATTTAAACAGTAGGACTAATTTTTTTTTTTTTGAGAGATTTTCGCTATAGGGCGCGTGTGCTTGCCAGACAGACAGAGAGAGACAGAGAGACAGAAAGTGAGAAATTACCCCCCCAGGGGGGGATGGCCACGCCGCAATTCCTTCTCCTCCTTTCTCCTCTCGGGATCTTGGGCACGCACACACATGCGCCCGGCATGAGTTTTAAGCCACCGTGTCCAGGACGCGAACCGCGGTTGACCACGTGGAAGTCCAGCGACATAGCCATTACACTAATTGCTGGTCCCATAGTAGGACTAATTTTTTAAAAGTTTTTTTTTAAGTATTATCTTTTTCTTTCTTTCCTTCTTTCTTTCTCTCTCTCTCTCTCTCCCCCTCCCTCCCTCCCTCCCTCCTTCGCTCCTCCCCCATTCCCTTTCCCTTCCCTTTCTTTCTTTCTTTTCTTTATTTCTTCTTTTAATTTGACCAGAGAGGGACAGAATGAGTGTGTTGGGGAGAGGGGAGGAAGGAGGGAAGGAGAGTGAGAAAGCAAGCCACCAGGTCTGGGACTCAAACTGTGGTCAGCCATGTGGGAGTCCAGCGCCTTTAACCACCAAGTTACCTGCTGGTCTAATTTAAAGGGGCATGAACAATGAATAAATTTGGGGACATCCACATGAATTAAGAAATACAACAGATGCTGCTAATATAAATAAACTGATATTTAGTCTTCAAAAAGTCTCAAGTGGTTAAAATTGTGAATTCAAACTATGAATGATGAACTTAAAATCTACCCTGAGGGACCACATGAACAACAACGAAAATCGCATTTTGGGTAGATGAGATCAAACTAGCATGATATAAAGAACTCCATGTGAGGGACCTGGTGATGGCACGGCAGTAATGCAACGGGACTTACATAGGAAAGGTCTGGAATTCATGTCTGCACTAAGAATACTGGACATGTATGTGCATACCTGTGACCTAGCTATCTAGACCTGTGACCCCGCCCTCTAGACCTGTGACCCTGCCATCTAGACCTGTGACCTCGCCATCTAGACCTGTGACCCCGCCATCTAGACCTGTGACTTGTCACGTAAGCCAAGTTAAATTTCAGCTCAGCTTACTATATCTACAAACATTGAAATACAAATCAGTGAGATGACCTTATAAATAGTTTAAATTATAAGAGATGGAAATTAGCTAACCTTCTGCCACAGAAGAAGGAATCCATGATGTTTTATCAACCAGGGAATTTAGGTTTTGTATTGGTCTCAAATTAGAACACTGCTTACATCTGAAATTGATAAAAGAAAGAGCAATAAATATTTAAAGTGATTTAACTCATTTAAAAATTGTAACTTGTTTTTGCGGTTCAAGCATGTATAGTACTAAAAGATAAATTAGTAAACAGATGGATACTGTAGCTTCTATATTACAGTGGGCTTATTTCAAGAGAATTATCAAAAAAATATGTTTACATAAAATTGATATTTTTTTTTTTTTGGAGAGTTTTTGCTATAGGGCGCATGTGCTCGCCAAAAGACAGAGAGAGACAGAGAGACAGAAAGTGAGAAATCACCCCCCCAGGGGGGATGGCCATGCCGCAATCGCTTCTCCTCCATTCTCTTCTCAGGATCCTGGGCATGCATGCACATGTGCCCAGTGTGAGTTTAAGCTGCTGGGTCTGGGACTCGAACCACGGTCAACTTTGTGGGAGTCCAGTGACCTAGCCATTACACTAACTGCTGGTCCCCATAAAACTGATTTTAAAAAAGGATAGCATGAGATTCAGAATAAACAACTATAAATTGAGAATTTTAGTAACTGGACTGTAGATTCAAAGTGTTAATTAATTTGGGTCTAAATTTCCTATTAAATGAAAATGTTGGAGATAAGTTCTAAGAACTCTAAGATTTTATCGCTCTATGAGCAATATCCATTAGTCAAGTCTTTATAAACAGGAGAAAACTATTCTCACTAAATAGCCAGAACTAGAAAGATTTTTGGATAATTAACACTGTTAATAGGCACACCATCAGAGGTTCAGAGTTTATACAATAGTTATAAATAAATCTAAATTATCTAGTGTAAGCATTTTGCTTTTCTCACGATCAACATATTTGAAGTTATGAGTAATTCATTTTTCATTATGTATCATTAAAATGTTTATGAGATGTTGATAAGAAAATTTACTTGAAAAAGTACACTTAAATAAAAACATAAAAATAAAAATTTAAAAGGTCCGTGCAGATTTATCATCATTTATGTTTTAGGGAAAACAGAGGATAACTATATTAAATTTTATCCCTTTCTACTCATATAATACATGTGTGTTTCTTCTCCAAAAACAACAACAAAAATAGAGTGAAGGAATATTATTGTCTAAAAAATCTGTAATATTGATTAGCCTTAGACAATGATAAAGCAAGAAATATAGTACACAAATTAAAAATTAAGAATAATAAGTCAAAATTAAATAGAGAATTCATTACTTCCAAAATAATAACAAAGAAAAAAAAAACCCAAGAACATTAAAAAAAATCCAACAGAACACTGAAGGAAAAAAAAATTGTTTTAAAAGAGAAAAAACAGCAAAAAACATAAGCAGAAACAACAAAAATATGAAAATATAAACTAAATATACCAACAAGTAAAAAACATATTTTAAGCTCACCTATTAAGAATAACTAAAATTTGAGACCACCAGCAGTTGGCATAATGGCCATGTTGCTGGACTCCCATGTAGTCAACCCGTGGTTCAAGTCCTGGACCTGGTGACTTAAATTTACACCGGGTACGTGTGCATGCATGCCCAAGATCTTGAGAGGAGAATGGAAGAGAAGGGACTGTGGCATGGCCATCTCCCCCTGGGGGTGATTTCTCGCTTTCTGTCTCCCTGTCTCTCCCTGTCTTTCTGGTGAGTGCATGCGCCCTATAGCAAAAACCTCTCCAAAAATAAATAAATAAATAAATAAATAACAAAATAAAGTAAATAACTAAAATTTTAAAAATTGGCTATAAGCTTTTGTTATTTATAAATGATGTACTAAAACAGAATGATATAGACTCTTGAAAGCAAAGAAATAAGAATCAGACACCAAGTATTTACCAATCCCCTCAAAAAGCTGATATAATAATAAAAATGTTAACAAAGATAAACCTTAAGGCAGAAAATTATAATTTGAAATGAAGTTTTTAGATAAAGATATATGAAACAATTAATTTATCAGGAGATAAAATAATGGTGAAACCACATTAACCAACAAAGAACTTCAGAATATGTAAAGAAAATTTTGATATAAAAAATCGTCACAAACCCACAATCACAGCAGACCTTTCACCCCAAAGAAAGTAACTACACAGAAAAAATTACAAAATAAATAGAAGCTATGATTATGGCTAAGAAGCCTGGTATAATGGATGTACAGAAAACCCCAACTCGAGGAATACACACTCTTTTTAAACACACATGGAGTATATACATATCTGAACGTAAGCATTCCAAGATAAAGTATATAATAAATCTCAAAGAAACATTATTATGTCCTAGGATACACATATACTGAAACAGAAGTTTAGGAAACAATGCTAACCCTTACTGTCAAATGTTCTCTATTATCTATCCAATTTCATTCAACCACATCATATTATTAAAAAAAAATGGTCATGCCCACTGAATTGATTTTATGACAAAGGAAAAATACAAGAAAACATGATAAATAATAGGACTTCACTTATCACTACCTATAAGTAAAACAAATAGAAAAAACATAATATATTAATAGAAAAGTAGATGAATAAATTGATATTTATAAAATTCTTCATATATATTAAAATAACCTAAATCTACAATATATCAATATGGATACATCTTAAAAATAAAATTGAGTGGAAAAAAAAAAAAGCTTCAAACAGGCACAGGATGAAATAGTTTACAATAAAAAAAAAAAAACACTAAATATGATGTTATACCACTTAAGAGTTGACATGTTTATTATAATAAAAGCTTAGAAATGATGACAAAGATTGACTCTATGTTTGGAAAGCAGGTATCTCTGAGAAGAAAGGGCTAGAAAAGGTACTGGTATTGACATGGGAAGGTGGGTAAATGGGCCCAATACCCAATGCAGGAATAGCAGCAAACCCGATTTTTTGTCTCGTGCTCAGAAAGAATTAGAGACTTGACACAGAGGGTATAGCAAGCAGAGTTTATTGAGAGAAGGAAGAACAGAGCCCCAAGCCGACCACAGGTCCCGAGAGGGATGCCAAAGAGGAACTGAGGTGAGGGGGTTTTATCAGGGTCAGAGAGACTTTGTTAGGGCTTATTCTCAGGAAGGGCTTGTGCATGCATTCCCCTTATGGTGGGGGCAGGGCCAGATGGGTTTGGTTATTTTTCCGAATTTTGGAGTGGGTACAAAGGACAGGAGACTCTCTTTTTCTGAAAATTTTGGGCCATAAAAGGCCATTACCTTCTTCCTAAAATGTGGTGGGACCAGGAAAAAAGCCTTTGTTTTAGGCCATGCTGCCTAGGTTAATCATTGAGTCACTGCTGCAAGCTGTTTCTTTTTTTTTTTTTTTTTTTTTTTTTTGGGGGTTTTCCCTTTAGGGGGGGGGGGCTCCCC